GTGGGAGACTAAAGTTGGAAATTCTCCAAGAAAGACAATTTCAGTATAACAACATTTCCCCCACTTCTTAACTAATCTCTCCCTGAATTCCCTTTCTTGGAATCAGAATAGTAATATGTCAGGTCAAAATTCTGTAGTCATGACTTTGGACTCCTACATATCAAAAAGGATTTCTCCTTGTAATGATATCTTTGTAATCTGCGTCTGCCTCCTTGTCCCCAAGAATTGCTACCTTAATTGTGTAAACTTTTCTCTTCTGCATTTCCCACGTAATTGATAGATGGTATTTCTGCATCCACAATCATGCTCTTCCCCTCCCCTTTGTGATACTGAAATGGAACCCAGGGCTTCATGCACGCTAGACAGGTGTTCTGCCATTCCACTACTTCTCCAGCGTCATTCCTCAGACATTCTTCGAGAATTTACTACGCACTGGCCATTGAGTCAAACCCTAAAAATGTGAAGAAAATGAAAATTTTATTACATCTGGCATCCCGGAATTTAGCAAGAAGGAGAAGGTACATTGAAAATGCTGTTTAAAGTCCTTTCATTTGTACCAACATCTAGTATATTGATTCATCTTTCGTAGAAGCTCCGTATTGTTTCTCAAGCAGAACTGAGTGTCTAGCTACCTATCACCTATATCGATCACCTGCCTATTACCTGTCTCTCCGGCAGTGAGATAGCTGGCAAAGCCAACATTTCATTTCAGTATCCTCACAAAGAAGCAAGGGAACCATGATTCCACGGAGTCAACCTCTGGCTTGGCTGCCTTAATGCTAGCAAACCCGTCCCAACCTCCGAGTGGGACTCCGTGACGCGTCCCCTAGAGTTTCTGGTTGGCATTGCACGAAAGTGAGAGCGCCTGCAAGCACGCGGCCCAGGTCAGCATGTGGCGCATGCGTAAAACTTGGGGCGCTCGCACCGGGCAGGGAGAGTCCAAGTGCAAGGGGGAGGTCACTGTTGATTCTGGCTTTGTTTTCCTCGTGAAATGTGACACAGCTCATATTCCTCACGTTCTCTCCGCCTGCTAATTTAAACGGTGATATCCGAGTGGCTCCTTTATAGGACGAGGCGAAGAGTCCGGGGATGGGGACCTCCTCTTGTTGACCTCCCCCCGCGCGGTGGCGTGTGGATGGTGCCGGCCGGAGCGCGCGGGGGCGGAAGCGGCGGCGGCGGCGGCGGCCGCTGTCAGAGCTGGAGAGCGGCCGGCGGAGTCGTCATGGAGGGTCAGCGCTGGCTGCCGCTGGAGGCCAACCCCGAGGTGAGCGCGGCCGGGAGCCGCAGCCGGGGACCGAGCGAGTCGGGAGGCCGGCGCCGGTTCGCCTGCGCGCGTCCCTAAACCCTCTTCTGTCTCGTTTCAGGTCACCAACCAGGTGAGTGCGGTGTCTGTCACCCCGGACCCCGGAGCCCTTTCTGCTTTCTCCGCCAGCCTCCTCGCTGCTGGCCTTCGCCTCTGCATCCCCGAGGATTCAGGGATCTCATCCCGGGAGCCCCCTCTCCCCCGCCCCGTCTGTGGCTGTGGCTGTGGGCGGCTCCGCCCCTTTCAGGCCACCACCTGGCTCCTGGAGATGCCCGTGCTCCTGGGTCCCTCGCCCGGACCCCAAGTCACCAACGCTGCCGGGGGCCTTGGGGTCTGAGATTTGCTTGGCGCTCCCTTGGTATCCACCCCCTCGTTCCTCTTCCCTCCTGGTTTGACTCCTTGCTTTTGCGTTTCGTCATGTTCCCAGCCCCTGTCCCTTCTAGGTGACTAATTTACCAACACTTCCTGACTCCCGGCTTCGTAAACTTGCCCACCCAGTTCTGGTAATTCCATCCACCAACCTATACAATGAAATCACCTTCCAGCAATCTTCTCTTGCCCCATCAAGTTGCTTCTCTTCCCTGCCACGCCCCCTTTCTCTTCCAGTCTGCAAGATGTGGACCACGTAGTTTTTGCCTTTTGTACCATACAAAGCCCGGATTAATTGTCATGCCGTTCTTGGCCACCTGCACTGAAGATTGGGCCTGGGGATGGCAAGTGAGGATGCTTTAGCTCCTTAATTAGGAAACACCTATTAGTGATAATCTTTTATTTGCACAAGTATGTATTGTCTTAGCCTGCTTCTTCTGCTCTCAACATTTAGTTCACCTTTGACCATGCTCTTTTCTAATATCTCCCTTCTCATCGCCAAAGGATAAAGATTTATCGTCCACTTTAAAAGAATGTTTTTTTGAGGCCAAACATCGTGGCACATGCCTACAGTATCAACATGTGGGAGGCCGAGGTAGGAGAATTTTGAGTTTCAGCCCAGTCTGGACTGAGACTGTGTCTCAAGCCTCCCCGTCTCGCCATCCCCCATTAGTGGTGTTGTTTTTGAATGTGGTTTTGGTTTTCAAAGCTTTTTTTTTTTTTAGCAAATTTCTTATATAAAGCACGTAGGCTTTACGTTAGAGGCGACATACTTTGACTTTTTTCAAAACATTTCTACTGCATTTATTTATTTTGTGTTTGGATAGGTGACAGGCATGTGGGGGCTCAGAGGCCAGCTTTCTAGACTCAGTTCACTCTTTCCCGCCGCTGAGTCCTTGATGGTGGCAAAAGCCTTTACTCACTGGTCCAACTCCCTGTATCTTATTTGAGTTTTATCGTGTGTTTTTGTTCCTATCTCAGTGCCTACCTCCTAGGTCAGGTGGCTGCGCAGAGTTCAAAGTTTAAAACCCAGCGCTTACCTGAGAATGTCAACTCTCTTTTGTTCTCACCCTTTTGAAATCTGTCATCTCTTTTCCTAACACATTTTATCTTCTTTATCAAGAGAACATTTTTTACACTTTACCGATAAGTAAATATCTTTTGTTCATTGTCTCTTCTTAACCACTGTCGTCCTCTCGGTGGTAGCTTGCTAAGTTCTCAGATGGTACGACTCCAACAGCGTGCCTTTCTAATTATGTTACCTCTCAGATACATCTTAGGATCCCTGTCAGCTTCCACAGACGCTGGTGGTGAATGTGTCCGGTGGACAGCTGTGTGTTGAGGATGTGCCATTATTGCACTGGATCCTGTAATCTCTGAAGGAGGTGTGGCTATCTCATTGCTTAGGCCTTTGATTTCTTTCATCGGTGTTTGATTGTTTGAGCACATAGATAGCTCTTAGAAATTTTTGTTGGATACCTACAAATTTGATGGGTTTTGGTGTGCTCTTGTAAATGGTATTGCTTTAAAATTTTGTTTTTGAGTTCTTTGCTACATATAGAAGTCTAATTTAAAAATCTGCCTACATTCTCTACCTTGCTAAATCCAAGTGTGCCTCTCCCTTTTTTGTAGGTTCTTTGAGGATTTTCTGTACAGACAGTTGTGTTCTCTGCAGTCAGATGCTTATTCCTATTTTAAATACCTTTATTTCTTTTTCTTGTCTTATTGCAGTTGGTCATATCTTACGTATGAATTTGAAGTATCTTCTTTCTGATCTCACTTCGGCAAGCGTTTACTCTTTCATTCTGAAGTGTGGCAGGGATTTCATAGACGATTTCTCAGGCTGAAGAAGTTCCCAGTTTTCCTAATTTGTAAATATTTTTATTATGAATTAATGTTCAGTTTCCCCAAGAGATTTTTTTGGCACTTCTTGAGATGCTCATAGAAAGAAGAAATATTTGTATGTGTATGTAAAAGGAACAATTATATGGCCAGTATTACTCTGGTACCTAATCAAGGCAAACTGTAAGAGGAAAAACTGGACTTGATAAATTAAAAGTGCATTTAATTACATTAATTAAATAATATTTTGAGGTTACCTTTTGTATTACCAGTTGTTTGAACAGAAACTAGTTATGCTTTGGTGGTAAAATATTCTTAGTTTTCTGTTTTTCTTTCCAGTGGGAAGACAGGAAGTAAAATGAGGCAAGTAAATCTTTAGCAGTTGTTGGAAGTGCAATGAAGAAGTTAGCAAGGTGTTACAGTTGGAGCCTAGTAGGCTGGCCAGTGACAGAAGGTCCCTCTGAGCTGACTTAACTAGAGATAGAGTTGTGTGCTGTATCTACTGTGCTTTGGTGTGGCGCGGGCTTCAAAATTCTCTTTCTAGCCACATATGATGGCAGGCAACTATGATCCTAGCTCTGGGGAGACCGAGGGAGGAGAATCAAGAGTTTGAGGCAACGTGGTCTACAGAGTGAAACTGTCTCAGATTTTTTTCATTATTAGAGAATGTGTTTTTATTTAGAGAACGGGCAAGTATCTTAGAAGTAGTTAACTTTAACCAGAATTTTTTTGTTTATCAATGTCCACATTCTATGCAGGGCTAAGGATGGAAAATAAGTAGAAATTTGATTAAGTGACTTGTGATTTGGAGAATTATCCTAGCAGACCTTGAATTCACCGTCCTGCCTTTGCTGCCCCGGGTAGGCTACAAGCACAACACCTGGCCATCCCTGGCTTCTCCTGTTTCTTTAGCCTAGTGGGGTCACAAGAGGGCCACCTGCCAGTTACAGCCTTGGTAACTGAGTTTGAGCACGCACTGTCTTATGCTGTGATGATGCTTGGTGCTACATTAGAGTCATTGAATGTCTACAGCCTGAAGGTTAGTGTTAACTGCTAGGCGTCATCTAGTTCCCTGTGTGGTAGCAGATCTGACAGTGCATTTTTTATTTTTTATTTTTTTGTATCCTGTCAGCCCCTTAAAGATATTTTATCATGCTACAGATTGGACTTAAAATAGAATCATTTAAAAAAGAATTTAAGCTCTACCTTATTTACATATATATTTTTAAATGGATAAAAGTAGCTGATGGAAAGTTGCAGATAACTGAGCATTAAGAAATTACAACTTGTTCAAATAGTATGGTTGATGATCTTTGTAACCATTGTACTAGATTTGGCATGTAGTTTTTTTATTTTGTGATTTATCTTTTGAAAATCTATATAGCCATTATCCACCTCTGTCTGTCTGTCTGTCTGTCTGTCTGTCTGTCTCTCTCTCTCTCTAGAGTTGAGAGAGTTGTAATTTAGAAAATGATTTCCTTTTTAAAATAGGGAGCTTCCCTAGAATTATTCTTAGTTATGATGTTATTGAGGACATAACATTTTCTTGTTTCATATCTAAAGGCAACTTAAACTACTTTGACATAGTTCTGCTACTTAATGTAAATGTTCCAAGTTAGAAGTAGAGTTGGAGGTCATTTGCTAGATTGTTATCAGAAAATAATCCAGGAATTCTGTAAGTAGATCCTACTTTTGGGAGACAAGCAGGCAGGCCTTGATACCCTGTCTCCTGTAGCTTCTGCTGTTGCTACCACCTCACCTCTGTCCTCCTTGTCTTTATTCTTGTCTGACTCACTTCCATACCCACCATTTCACAGTGCCTTAGTTAGAGTTTTACTGCTCCGAAGAGACACCACAACTACAGCAACTCTTTTTTTTTTTTTTTTGAGACAGGGTTTCTCTGTGTAACAGCATAGCTGTCCTCCGGGAACTCACTCTGTATATAGGCTGGCCTCGAACTCACAGAGATCTGCCTGCCTCTGCCTAAGGAATAAAGGCGTGAGCCACTACCTCCCAGCCACAATAACTCCAATAAGGAAAACATTTAATTGGGGTGGCTTACTTACACTTCAGAGGTTTAGTCCATTATCGTCATGAAGTAAATTGTCTTCTTAGGCGTGACCTGAGCATATATGAGACCTCAAAACCTGCCTCCATAGTGACACAGTTCCTCCAACAGGAGCACACCTCCTAGTAGTGCCACTCTCTTTGTGGGCCATTTTCTTTCACACCACCATACATAATATTCTTGTCACTTCAGTAGTGACCACACTTCTTACATACCCACGGGCTGCTTTTCTGTCATCGTGTCTCATGGCCTTTTAGTGGCATTGGAAGAACAACCTGTTCCATCCTTCCTGAAACATCACGCTTTCGTTTTTACTTTTCTGATACTTGATGGTTTTTCTAAGTCCCCAGTTACTTCTTAGGTCATCTCCCTTCTGCCCTGTATGAAGTTCCTCAGGAATTCCTCTGTGAGATTAACCGTGATTGTCAACTTGGTGTGTATATCTGTGATGAGGATTTTCTAGATTGGGTTTACTTTGGTGGTGGGAAGATCCAACCAAATTTGTGGGTACCATTTCATGGATATAGAGTCTAGGACTGAATGGAAAAGAAAAGTCACCACTCAGCAGGTAAAGGTGCTTGCCACCATGTCTGATGACCGGAGACTTGTCTGTAGGACCTTCATGATAGAAGGAGAACACCAACTCTGGAAATTATCCTCCAGAGGTTGCTGTGGCAAGTGTGTACACACACACACACAAAAATATTTTAAAGAAAAAAATAGAAGAAGAACTGATGGCCAGCATCCTCTCTCTGCTTCCTGACTGTACATGGAGTGACCAGCTGGTTCGTGTCCCTGCTGCCATGCTTCCCCCACCACGATGGCCTGTAACCTCCAGCTGTGAGCCAGAGTGAGTCCTTCCTTCTTTTAAGTAGTTTTGGACAGTTGTCTGGTCACAGCACCAAGACAAGTAACTAATAGGTTCCTTCTACGTAATCTTTTCTTGGTGCAGTTTTCCCTAAGGACGTTTCCTGTTACGTTGCTTTCATACTGTGTGTCATCACATAGATGGCCCCAGTGGCCCTCTCAGCTTTCCTTCTCCACCATATTGAAAAATTTTGATATTTCCATCTGGATGCTTATAATACTTCAAACTTAATATAACTGAAAAAGAAATGTGAATTTCCATCCTCTGTCTTCCAGAGGCATTGCTGTCTCTCCTTTGCTCCAGCCAATGGTAGAGACTCTTCTGCCCGGTCATGCCATTTTGAAGTTGCTATAGTGTATGACTTGGCTCTCTTTTCTGTGTCTGCCTTCCGAGACCATTGCTGTCTAACCTTTTTGTACTGTTCTGATCACGCAGACCGTCTTCACAGTGCAAGCCCTCAGCTGCTGTAGACGTCTAACTACTTGGGCTTGTTTTTCTTCCCTAAAGTCTGTTGTCTGTGTGCTGTCATCCCTGCTTTTGGTTGGTATTAGAAGAATGCACACAATATCTTGTAATTTTCTGCTTCAGACACTAGCAGCCTTCACTGCGTGTGTTTTAGATACAATGGAATTGCCTCACTGAGGTTAGTTCAGGAGGCATTGCCCTTCTCTGCCCAGACTGGGCTTCAGTTTCAAATGCTGAGGCTCTTCCCACTTCAGAGTCTTCACTTGCTTTTGCTTATCCTTTCCTTGAATAGTTTGACTTGAGATATTTTATGGCTTTTTTTTTTTTTTGTCATTTATGGCTCAGTTTCAAGATGAACCAGTTTTTCTTTGGTGACATAACTTTTCTTGTTTTCCTTTCCTTTTTCTTCCCCACCCCTACTCTTTTTCAGATTCCCGTTTTTCTTTTTACACTGGGTTTTGTAATGCAGCTGAGGCTACAGTAGTCTTCTTGTTTCAACTAGGATTGTAAGACTAAGCCACCACTGTAACAAGTCTTTCTCTATCCCACCATCTCCAAAATTGTAACACGCAAACTTCTTATGAAAGCTCTGCCTATAGCCTAGGCTTGTTTCTAATTAGTTTTTATAACTTAAGTTAACCCATTTTTATTAATTTATGTCTGTTGCGTGGCTCTTGGTTGTTAACCTCTCCTACCCGTCCCGCTTACTCTGCACACAGATGTTCCACAGCAGCCATATTCAGTTGATTTCTTCAGAATACTTTGCGAAGTTATCTTATTTGTTTCTTTTCTCTTTGTTTTTTGGTTTGGTTTTGTTGTTTTTGAGACAGAGTCTCTCTGTGTAGTTCTAGCTGTCCTGGAACTGGTTATATAGACTCTGGCCTCACACTCAGAGGTCCTCCTGCTTGTACCTCCTGAGTGCTGGGATTGAAGGCATGTGATACCATGGCCAGCTATGTGACATTTTCTTTACCACTAAAATGTAAGTTCTTTGAGAGTAGAGAACGGACTGAAGTGTCATGAGTGTCTCATGGCCTTCAAGGAGCTGCCAGCTCATAGATAGCAAAGAATGAGTAGAGCTTCTGAAGCTGCTTTTCTGCCCTGGAAAATTCCTCAGAAGTTTATGTGGTAATGGATCCTTCCCTGAATATTTCAGTGAACAGAATTTATCTTCTAAGTTGCTTTGGTTTTTTTTTATTGCAGCAATGAGAATAACATGTAATTAGTAAAGTAATATTTATTTTTACTGGAACAAATTTTGCTTTCTTACAACTTTTAATTGTTCATTAGTCCTTCCATTCAAGGCATCTAGCACAAATCTAATTGCTCTTTCTTGATATTACTAACACGGAGGCCAAGGTTCAGTAATTTAAGTCCAATCTGAACATGTTGTTCTGTATCAGTTACCTTTCCGTTGCTGTGATAAACGGCATGGCCAAGACAACTAAGGAAGAGCGAGTTTGTTTTGGCTTACCGTCCAGAGGCTTAAGAGTCCCTGCCGAAGGGGAACATCAGCTGCAGATGCCGGCATGGTGGTGGGAACAGCAAGCTGAGAGCTTACATCTTGAATCACAAGCACAAAGCAGGTCACAAACAAGTAGGTTGAGACTGTAAACACACAAAGCCCACTTCCAGTGATATACTTCCTAGAGCAAGACGGCATTCTGAAATCTCTCCAAACACCACCACCCACTGTGGACCAGGCGTTCCTGTACGTGAGTCTGTGGGAACATCCTCATTGAAGCCATCACACCATGTCTCCCACTTTGAGGATTTTGGGTCAGGGTCTTTGGGGTCCTCCTCTTGTCGTTACCCTTTCTGAAAGTGGCTGTGTTCAGGGCTCTTCCGTAATTCATGCTGCATCTTCTTTGCTTGGTATGGTGGACTGTTGCTATTGTCCTGAATGATGCTTTTCTCAGAAAGCCAACAGTGTGTCACCTTTTGATAATTTTACTTAGTCCATATTGAGCCAGCGATGAAATAAATCTTTTTTTTAACTTTCACATAAAATATTTTCAGTGATTTCCTATTCTCAGGTTGAGGAAATTTGATCTTGTCTAATTTTTAGGCAGTCTGTTAAAATTTATTTTTTGGTTCCTAAACTATTATTTCTCATTTAACTTATTTCCCTTGTTTCATGCATAGCAATCACTACTAGTGTGCTCTTATTGGCCGTGATATGAAGCAGTTGCTAGACAGGTGTAGCTTTACAGTGACTGAGCAGTTTTGTCCAGGTTGACTTAATGAACATCAGATTGTAGATAAGGAGCTAAAAGTCCCAATCTTCTTTATCTGACAAGAAAAAGAGTATACATTGAATATTTAGTGTAAACCAGCTTAAGTCACATGCAAGGCATATAGATGGTAAGGTATCTATTGAGATGTATTCATTGCAGTTCAAGAGACACCTGGCTTGACCAGGTATATAGTGCTTAGCAATATAAACAGAGACTGCATGTTTGTTCGTGGCTGCCCAGCCCAAAAAAATCACACAGAAACTGTATTAATTACAACACTGTTTGGCTAATAACTTAGGCATATTTCTAGCTAGTTCTTACATCTTAATCCATTTCTATTAATCTGTATATTGCCACAAGGCTGTGGCTTACCAGTAGGTTCTGGCATCTGTCTCCTTTGGCAGCTACACAGCGTCTCCTTGACTCTGCCTACTCTCTCTCTACATCTCTGTTCAGATTTCCTGCTGACTTTGCTGTGCTAAGCCATGGCCGAAGCAGCTTTATTCACTAGCCAGTAAAAGCAATACATATATAGAAGGACATCCCACATCTTCTTCCTTTTCTGTCTAATTAAAAGGAAGGTTTTTAACTTTAACATAGTAAAATCACATGTAATGAAACAGGTATTAAGCAAGAATTACAGTTACAATATTTAATCCGTTTATATTTGGCAAATTAATGAAAATATCATTTATTCTATCTTTGTGAGTCTAAAGTTTTATATTTAATTTATCCTTTATCATAACTAAGAAAAACTATAATTATCTGTCTTTAACTCTTTAAAGGCCCCAGAAGAATATAATATTACCTAAATAAGCAAGAATTGTATTGTAAGTAACTTTCAGAGTTTTAGAATTGACAGAGACATCTTGCCGCCTGGACAGTCACCCAGAGGTGGTTTTTTTTTTTTGTTTTTTTTTTGTTTTTTGTTTTTTTGTAACGTTGGGGCACCCATCTTTAGCCTAGAGGCCTGTAGTATCTGGCAGACTTTTTTAAGAAGATCTGTTTTGCCTTGTACTGGTAAAGTTTATAAATTGCTTTTTTTCTGTATCTTGCAAAATGTCTGGCAGTTTCTTCTGTGAAGCAGGAACCCTGAAGGATCATCCCATCTTTTGGAAGTTCAGCAGTCACTGTTTTTGTGGGTTCTGCATGCCCAGTTTATACAGCATACCTTAGAGTAGTTTAGGCAAGAGCAGTTTCTTGCCCAAATGGCTAGCCTTATCACATTCAACACAAATTTCATAATGACTTTCTTCAATCCCCATCCGCCTCTCTGAAGTAATTGGTGCTGCCTAAAGCAGACATGTCTCACTGTCAAGAAAAGTCTAAGTTCTTAAAACATTTTAAATGCCATATTTTGTAGTTCTTTGAAGTGTTAATGATTATCTATTTAACTGAAATATATCTTTGTATATCTAGAAAACCTAACTAACATGACTACAAGTTTTACACAGGTTCTCATCTTCTGTAGAAACAAAAGCAAAACCTATTTTTCAAAGTAAAATAACCTTAGAGTTAAATTCGGAACTCAAGATACCTTTATGTTGATTTAACTTAGTAGCCCCTCAAAACAAATGTCTCTGCAGTCAAAAAATTCAAAGAAAACACAATAATATACATAATTTGTGTATATTCCATCTTTATGTGGCTTATTTTTCTTTATTCCTTTGATCTATTTCTGTCTGCAATCTTTTATATTACTTAACACCATTTACTTCTTTTTCTAACTGTTCATACTTCCCCCCTTTCTCCCAAGCCTATGTACATTCTTAAAGCACACTGTCTCTTTTAGAGGTTCATTTTTGCCTGACTCTGTCTTTATTGTGAATCTGTAATCATTTTCTGACCAGGAAAATGCCAAGTGGGCAGGACTAGAACCAACTCCACAGCCCTGCCTGTTGGCTCCGCCCCATCCAACATGGCGGAGGTATGTTTACCACCTCTGCTAGCCGTGCTCACTGCCCCAGCTCCGGGATGCAGCGGGTCTATGTTGCCATTAAGCAACTAGTAGCACTGCTCACAAACCCCATGTAAGTAAAGGGCCTGCTGAAAGAGCCAGCACAAACCAGGAAGCTGGCTCTTAAAGAAGCCACACCTCTGCTTGCAACCAGCAAATGAGCCTATCTGAAAACAAAAAAATGTGACTACCAAGAAGCTGTGTTTGGTTCCCATTTTTGTGGGTCTAGAAGCCCTCTTTTTAAAGCTTTATTAGGCTTTGTTAGTTCTTATGTGGGTCCATGCCCCAAATGGTGGGTGCTATTTTATATACTTTGGGCATGGTCTCATGTATTATAAAAGCAGACAAAAGGTGTGCATGGGCCTCTTGGCTGCTGGATTTAGGTCCAGTTCCCAGTGCACGCAGAGGACTGTGGATCCTACTCTTTCTGTGAGTTCATCCCCAGATAAATAAGCCTTTGTTATACTCCATTCCAGGCTATTGTGGGACTCCTTTGTACGCCAGCATAGCAGTGGGAAACAATAGGAATTTCTTCCCTTAACACTGAACCTTTTTTTCTTTTTTTAATCTCTTTTTCTTTTTTGGTTTCTAAGTAGGATTGAATATTAAGACTGGCCTAGAACAGTAAATCTGGAGAAAATGGAGGCAAATAGAAACCTTTTCAAATGTGCCTATGAACTTTACCAAGCCCTGAAATCATTAGTAATGTGTTGAAGAATGGTCATAGTCCCTGCTCTCTGTAGTTCTAGACCATGCAGCTTGATGGAGAGGTGAAAGCAATACCCACGAGAGGTTCTTATCTGCATTTCTATTTATTTATTTATTTATTTTTCCAAGTATTTGCCTACATGTGTGTCTGTGCAATGTGCACTGTGTTACTTTTTGCTTGATAAAATACTGAGCTATCTGTCTTCAAACTACAGGAGTTATTTTTGGGTATCAGGATAAACTGTTGAAGGAAAATAATTCATTGTTTAATTGATACATTTTAAACTCTGGAATTAAGTTCTTAAGGTGACTTGTATATATTTTGTGAAATCCTGGCAATTATATTCAGTACCAAAGTAACAGGTTTGTTTAATATGTTATGAGTTTTAACTGCTATTTGATATACATTGCTCTTGTCCTAGTCTGTCCATTGCAGACTTGCTTTACTGTGTTCCTCACCTCTCAGACTATGGTATACTTGACAGATAAGGATTATATGTATTTATGGTGTACATTCTGTGTTTTGAAAGTGCTGCCTTCTCCATTCTTACTGAACATAAGTAATACTGATCACAGTCCTTTCTCTATACTAGATCTGTGGTACACACACTTGTTGATCATTTCCCTGTTAATAATATCCACAGGTTTTCCTTTACTGCTTAACCTTTGCTGCCTTTTCTCTTAATAGTTTCTCAAACAGTTAGGCCTGCACCCTAACTGGCAGTTTGTTGATGTGTACGGGATGGAGCCTGAACTTCTCAGCATGGTACCCAGACCAGTGTGTGCAGTGTTACTCCTCTTCCCTATCACAGAGAAGGTAATTATAAAGCGAGATACATAGTTTCTGATACGTGCAGACGTTTGATATTGTGTTGAGACATAATCTCTAAAAACAAATGATGCCTTTGTTGCATATCATCATAAGGAAATACTAATGTCTTATTAAAGTAAAAGATTTAGATTATAGATTGACAATAAAGTCAGTGTTGCTCTTTTATCTTTAGCTGTTTTTCCCTTGGAAGATATGGTTAGCTGGCCTCAGCTTTGGTTTAATGCAGCATTTAATACCACTTTCATGAATATTCTTTGATTCCCCCCCCCCCAAGATAGTGTTTCTCTGTGTACCAGTTCCAGCTATCCTGAAACTCACTCTGTAGACCAGACTGGCCTCAAAATCACAGAGAGCCGCCTTCCTCAGCCTCCCAGTGCTGGGATTAAAGGCCTGCACTACGACTGCCTGGCCTGTTCTTTGAAATTTTAAGTGGATATTTAAATATTTACTATAAAACATATTAATAAAGAATATTCAGGTTTGCAACTTGTAAAGCATATAAACAATCTTGATTGTGATTATAAAAGCAGACCTTTGTTTATTTTAAGGAGGTAGGGGAAACTGATGGTGTGGATCCATTATTTTCAATACAAACTTGATTTGGGGACCATCGCTAAACTTAGATACGGTTTAATTGAGAGAATGTATTGGGCATGATAAGTAGGTATCTTAGGTCTCTGTGCTTCGGTGTGCATGGAGCCGAGTTGGAATGCTGTGTGCAGTTTAGGACATCCTCGTAGTCTTCCCCTCTGACTTCAGACTGGGAGCTGTAGGACGAGCTCAGGCCTTCTGAAAGCCGAGAAGTGCTGTGGCAGTGCTGGCACGGGGATGAATTGACGGTGTAAGCGCAAGTCCTGCTGCTCCGAGGACAGATCTGCCTAGATCACCAACATGCAGCAACCTTAGTTGTCCTTAGGATAAATAATATAGCAAGTTTGCTTCCTCCTCTGTGAGGACTCTGCAAAACAAATTATTCAATAAGCTATTTTCTCCATATTTGTAACAGTCATAAAAATTTAGTTAGGATTTTTTTCTCCCCCCTCCCCCCTTTTTCTTTAAAAACAGTCGAAAGAGAGAGAGAGCGAGCGAGCGAGCGAGAGAGAGAGAGAGAGAGAGAGAGAGAGAGAGAGCGCGAGCGAGAGCGAGCGCGCGAGCCCTGGACTAGGATGCTCTGTGTAAAACAGACTGGCCTTGAACTCACAGAGCTCCTTGCTTCTGCCTCCAGAGTGGTGGAATAGACTATGCACTGCACATCTGGTCTTTATAGACGTTGTATAAATTATCTAGTTTTAGTTCAAACAAATTTAGTTGTTGGGTTTTTGCTTAATCTGAAACTTGTAGGAGAGAAAGGACAAAATATTACTCTCCAGTCCAGTGTTCTTTTCACCTTTTTTGATTACTTAATAAGCAGTAGGGATCTATCCTCAGACTCCAGAAGTAATGAGTAGTTAAAAAGAATTGAAAGAGAAAAAAAAGAAGTCACTTGTTGATATCTTAGGCTTCTTAAATTTTGTTTTTATTTTCAAATAGGATCCTAGTTAGCCTCTATTTTGTAAACCTACTTGACTTCTTGATGCTTGATCCCAGATTACATCTGGGATTTTGTCGTGCCCCGATACAGTGTTAGGCTGACACAAAATGCTGGCATTATAGGCCTGTGTCAGCATGCTTGACATTGCTGGGCTTTCTTAGCTGATATAAAATGCAGTGACCCCAGATGGGGCAACATGAGCTGTAGATAGACTTAATTATTTTATTCAGTCTCTGTGTCTGTGTGTCTCTGTGTCTGTGTGTCTGTGTTGCTGGGGATTGAACCTATGACTTCATGCATGCTAGGCTAGCGCTACTGTGGAATTTATACTTTCATCGCTGATTGTACATTTAAATGTTATATTTTAAACCAAGCTGTTGCAAATGTAATTGTTTGCTATACATTTGTTAGATGTTGTGGAAAGTGTTAATGCAGATTGCTGTGTGCCTCGTAGTATGGTCGTGCCAATGACTTTAACAATGCCATATGAAGCTGAGTGCCATGGAATCTGCCTGCAGTCATGCTACTTGAAAGGCTGAGGCAGGAGAATCATTTGAACTCATGTTCCAGAGCAACCTGTCTGAAAACAAACAATGAGTGAAATAGTAATGCAAGGCTGTCTTTCTCTCATGCCTTTACCGGCACAGTGACTGTTGCCAGTCTTTTGTCAGTCTGGTAGATGACAATCCTACTTTAAATCTTTTCTTATTTTGTTCTAAATCTCATCATCCATAGCCTTTCCTTTACAAACTTGAGTGTTCTTTTTAGTGTGTGGTTTTGCATGTGGACTTTTGACTTTTTTTCCCCCCCACTAGTATGAAGTGTTTAGAACAGAAGAGGAAGAAAAAATAAAATCTCAAGGACAAGATGTTACGTCATCAGTGTATTTCATGAAGCAAACCATCAGCAACGCCTGCGGGACAATAGGGTTAATCCACGCCATTGCAAACAACAAGGACAAGATGCACTTCGGTAAATCTTTTCTGTTCTGGTTTCCCTGCAGATGTGTTAACTTGTTCAACAGTAGGGGGTGCCCTGACTCTCTCAAACTAGAAAGCAGTGCCTCCCTTCTTTTGTTATGGGACTAGACACTGAACCAGGAGCGATGTTAATCCTTCCATTTTTTTATATTGCTGAACAAAATACATTGGACTTAGTTATTTATTCCAAGAATCTTAGATTCTTAACTTACCAGTTAAAGGATTTCTACCTGAGAAAATACTGTACTACTTTTGTTGTTAGATTTTTTTTCTGTAGTTAAACTTAAATTTTTAATCATTTTTGACATTCTCAGAATCTGGATCAACCTTGAAAAAATTCCTGGAGGAGTCTGTGTCAATGAGCCCTGAAGAAAGAGCCAAGTACCTGGAGAACTATGACGTCAGTACCTTCTTTCTGTCTTGACCCATCCATGGGCAGCATTACAGGATTATAGGTTCTGTTTAGTGGATGTCTTGAAACTATAGTTTGGGGAAACATCGTTTGTCATATCCATTCCAAGGGCTTTTGTTTTTTCAGGTAATCATACATGAAATATCTATAATATTGTCCGGTTGACAGTTCTGTGTCCGGGGCAGAATGAACAAACAAGTACAGTTTGCAAATTAATAGCTGTACTCTCTAATCTAATTTGAAATGATTATTCTAAACATTTATTAGTTCTGAAATTCTTATTTTTTCAAAGGTTTTTTGCCTTTTAGTAATATCAATAGATCATGTTCTTTGAAATTAGAAAAGCAATATGGTGTACATTTATTATTGTGCTTAGTGTTCCAAAATAGTTTAGTTGCTTGAAGTTTCATAAGAAATCTTTATTTTGCTTAAAAGTAAAATGACAGTTGCCAATAATTCCACCAGTGAACAGTAGCTATCCTTGATATTTTTATAGGGAACATAGATGTATATACACAATTTTTTAAAAATTTGATCACACTGTAATACTGTTTTATAACTTGCTTTTTTCACTTATCACAAACGTATTAACACCAGTAAGTATATGTTTAACATTATTATTCTAATGGCTGAGTAGCTTTCCATTTTATAGTATATTTAATCAGTAAAATGATGTTTGAAATCTAATAGTTTTCCTTCCTTCTTCACTATTTAAAATTATTGCAAATGTGTATTATTGTGTCTGAGGTTTTCAAACCATCCTTAATTTCATATATTCACATACATTAATATATCAACATAGTAACCCCTAGAAGAGAAATTGCTGATCAGTTTGCATGTCTTTATGGCTTTAATACTTATCACCTAATTGCTAAACATAACAGTTATACTTTCACCCCTGATTTTCTATTGTGCCCATTTTTCTGCATCTTCGATAATAGTGGGTATGATTAGAGCATTTTTAAGTTCAGATAACTGAATTTCCTAGCTTCTCATAAACGCATGCCTTTTGCACCACGTTATTAAATTGCTGACTGAAATGCATGAGTAAGCATAAATTCAGCCAGAGCTGCAGGAGCATGCACCTTGGAGAGACAGATAAAATCAGCTTCTTCAGGTTCTGTGAGCTGCCCGCTTTATTCCAGGCTCAAGGGAATAAAGTGTTAAGCGTGGCCTCTAACATTTAAGGAAGCTAAATGACCCTCTACTTGCACTGTGCAAGTTAGAAACTATGAGCCAGTGGGTTTCCCAAAGCTTAAGAGATTTGTGGGTCAAAGGGACAGCAGTGATTTGCTTACATAGATGCAGTTCTGAAAGGCGTAGTGCTAAACTGCTCCTAAAGTTCTTCCAGTTTCCTGCCTCGTTACAGGATTTTAGATGGGAAAAGTTGAGCTTTGTTTCATTTAAAGGTTGGGTATAGTTGTTTTATTTTTTGTAAACAGTTTATATTCTTATTGCAGGCTATTCGAGTTACTCATGAGACCAGTGCACATGAAGGTCAGACTGAGGTATTTCACATTTCTTTTAAAACATGTTGCTGTGTGTAAATTTGATCCTTATATTGTAGAACTCTGGCTTTGGAAAAGTATTTGACTATCTGGGTTTTCTTTTTGTTTTTCCTTAGAATTTGCTTATGTAACAGCAGTAGTCAGAGTGATAGCAAGAGAAATGTTTTTTTTCCAGGCTGCTAACATGCTACATGGATGTCTGGTCCACGTTGCCGGATCCTTTCACAGGTTGCAGATTGTGCGTTCTTTGTTTTACTCAGCAGGTACACCCAGATTTTATGTATGATCTTTGGGCATCACTGTCATGCCTTGCTCCCAGGACAAGAGAGAAGGAAGAGGTGCTCAGGGACCTTGTTCTATTCCCCATGGTGATCTTCAGGTTTGCACTGCAGCGGGTCTGCTGGGTCACTCTGATCGCTCTTGCCTCTGTTTCCTTTACTCATCTCCCCATTCCACGCTTTTCTACTCTTCTCACGCCCCAACTCTGGAAGGAACTTTGTCAGAAAAGATTCAGTCAGAATGAACGGAGTTTTATTAATTCCACTGGTGTATTTCCAGCACCAGGATAGTGTACTACATTTTCTTCATATGTGACTTGAAATCACACCTTTTAGAGAGGTGATTGTTTTGGAAGAAGGGAACCAGTGGAAGGGAGATGATGTGGGGGTGAAAAGAGGACAGCGAGGGGGATCGTGATAAAGTGTGCTATATGAAGTCCTATTATGAAAATGTCATAATAAAACTCATTGCTTTATACAATTAAAAGTCACATTTCCACATGTAGGATGATATTGCTTATTGGCTTTAAAAATTCTTGGAAAAATTACATAATTAAGAAGTTGATTTTTAGATTATTATTAAACCCTTTTTTAAAGGTGAAAATACTTTAATACTATGATATAGCTGTAATTATTCTTCTTTCAAACTGCATTACTGTGGGTGTTTGCCTAGTTGAAGCACTAGGTGTCCTTGTAATTGTCCCTTCTAAGCTGCTCTCTGTCTCTTTCAAAGTTGTAGACTTGAGTTTTACTCAGTCTACAGTAGGAGGTGACTTGGATATTCAGTGTTCGTGTTTACACGCTTGTTGGATCCTAAGAGAGTTTTGGTTGCAGTGTTGTTTTGGCATTGAGACCAGGGATGAGCTGGATCAATGTAAGAATATCGTACTTCCGGAGTATTTGCCTCGTGCTGCCTTCTTTCATGTCCTTTCTGGGTCTTCATCCAAGTTGTGGCTCTAGTACCTGAATGATAGTCACATCTGTTGTTGTTCAGGCTGAAACTTCATCGTCCTTTGTGATGGTGGATGCCAGTTGGCGGTCACGGGAATGATCTGCTGACATTTTAGAATGTGTTGTCCTTGTTTGAGGTTATTATATGTGCCTTCTTTTCTGCCCTTTATTTTCCTACAGTTTTAACTCCATTATATTTCCTGAAATGTAATTCAATTGGAGACTCAAACTTTTGTTTTCCTGCTGCAGTGACTCTCAAAGGTGGGGTGGGAAGGATGTAGCAGTTTTTAGAGGCTTCTCGGGCCTTTCTCCCAGTGAAGTTAATCAGTCGCCTTACCACTTTCTCATCTCTCACAGTCGAGACTCACTGCTAGAGATACGCCACTTATGCGCATTATGACTAACACATTGTGGGTTGAAGAAATAGTTTGAGGCTCATTCCTCACATTTCTTTGTCAGTTTCGGCCTCTTTAAGGCTTCTTCTAATCCCTACTGCTTTGGCTATTTATCTGAAAATATTTCTCTCTACCAATGTCTTATTGATATTTTTCTTATAATTTCTCCTTATTGAAAACATTTCTTCTCTTAGCATCTGCATTTCTGATTTCTACTTAACTTTCAAATTAGCTTCAATGTGACCCTCTAAATAAAGCACTTCTAATAACCTGGGTATATTTTATTTATTCTATGCTCTCTTTCATGTGACTTCAGTATTTTGCATTTATTTATTTTCATATCCTTTTTTAGCTATTTAAAATGTATTTTTTTCAAGCCAAATGTGGTAGTGTAAGCTTACAATTTTAGCACTTAGAAGGCTGAGGCAGGAATATCAGCAGTTTGATATCACCTGATCTACACATTAAGCTTGTCTAATTAAACAAACAATGATGTATGTTTTTGTACATTTTAATAATTCTAGAATTAAGACCTATTTAAACTGTTGTCATAATTTACTTGCTATTATTTCTACCTTAGTGGTATATAAAATGCCTCCTATAAGTAGTACCTTAGCTTATGAGGTGGGAAAGTTTATCTTTCGTTGTGGTTCTTAGGTCTAGGATTGATGTCTGGTTTATTTGCACATTTTAAGTTATTTAGAACTGTCCTTTACACATAGGCTCACTGCATATTTACTATTTCCAGTATTAGGTCAGAAATTTCTTTAGTGGTATGAAAACTTAAAAAAAAAAAAAGTCTCATTGGTTAGGGGTATGGCTTCAGAGTTAGGAGCAATTACTGTTCTTCCAGACCCACAGCAGCTAGGTCACGGACGGGGCTTGTTACTAAAGTTCCATGTTGTCTGAGCCCTCCTCTGCCCTCTGCGGGTACCTACATGCATATGATGCAAACAGACACACCTTTAATCTTAGCACATAGGGGAGGCAGGAGCAGGAGAATTGCAGAGTTCTAACCCAGCCAGATCTACATAGCAAGCTCCAGATTAGGTAGGGATAAACAATGGAACAAAACCCAAAAGACAAAAATCTTAGTTTTTTGGAGTTCTATAAGAAACATTTTCACTAGAACATATATAACATTTTTATATAGAAATTATAAATAGAAATTTATATCAGAATTTGGATAGTAGGCCCATTTCGTTTAGTTTTGTTTACTTACTGAAAGATACTGCTTTAAATAAACAAAAACAGCTGAACTTACAAAACAGGAGAGTGGGATACAGTAGGTTTCAGCTGAGGAGTCTCTCTCTCCTTTGATTTTTAAATTTACTCCTTCACCATTTGGTATTCGATTCTAGATAGTAGAAGTGTCGTTAGGTTAATTTCCTCTTAACAATGCTAAGAAGTGATTCAGAGTGTGTGCTGCTTACTCTGTAGGAGTTTTAGGATTGCAGGTATTATCACCCTTTCCAGATGAAGCAGCTGCCGCACAGTGAGGTTCAGCTATTGTCCCAAGGCTTTGCCAGAACATGAGCTCTAGTCCTTCCAGCCAACAGGTGTGAGCCCTCCTGCCAGGCCACACAGCAAAACAAAATGTCAGTAGGCAGATTGTGCCGCCACTGTATGTTTTACAGTAAAGTGATGATCTACCTTGGGTGGAAATGGATTGAGTGAGAAAGTAAATGGATTGTCTGTACTTGTACATTCCTCCAGTAATTTTGTGATTTTTTTTCTTTAAAGCGCCGTGTTAGAAAATCTAGTGAGATTATTATATTAGGCAAAATTTTCATCAGTAAAAGTGTTATTCAACATGTATGCTACAGTAATATGTGACCCAGTGCTAAATGCAGCTAAATATTTTACTAGCTACTGATTTGAAATGACTATGATTAGGAATAAGCATATTTGCTTAATTTAAAAAGTACTCTAAGTATCCAGTCTAAGTCCTTTCAGAATGTTGGGAGATTGCTCCAAGTTGATATAAGAGGGAAAAAATGATGCTTTTGATGACATGAGTATTTTTATTTGTTAATGAATAGTCCACAGTGCAGTAATGAAAAAAGTCTGCAAGTTATACATGGAGACAAGAGAGAAAAATCCAAGTGTATTTTGCCTTCAGACTATTTTCATGTCGTTTGCCAAAGAACCTCCATGTAATTATTTTTATTTTTTTAGCTTACAAAAGCATATTATTTTATTATGCTTTTAAATGAACATGCCAAAATCAAAAGTTTACAAAAATACATTTAGCATTTAGTTACATACTTAATTCCAGCCTTTTAGCATAATCTAAACAGTTAAGAAAAAGGAGCTTTCTTCATATCTTAGTATGAATATTTTCTTATTCAAAACTTTTTTAGAAATAATTCTTTGCATACTTTCAGGCGAGTAAATCATAAATTACTTTCCAGATTTTCAATTTTGATGTTTATATTTTTAGTTTTTCAAAGTAAAAATAGACTTTAGTAGATATCATTTTTTTACCGAAGTGTTCATTTCAGATTCTCCCAAAGAAGTTTCTCTTAGCTGTGATTAAATGGATACACATTGTTGAGGTTTTCAGTTCACAAGGTGAATTGTTCTTCCATCTCTTGGCCACGAAGGAACTGAACTGAGCTTGTTCTGCGTCAGAGACTGTGCATTGTAAATATGAACAAGAAATAGTTTTTGTCTTCAGAGGTCTTTTATTTCAGCCACTAATGACTTTGAGCGTGGCTAATGCTAGTATTAAATTCTTTTAATGTTCCATTTTAAAATGGATTTTTAAATTCTTTCATTGTAAATAGTGTATTTTGATACCAGTGTTAAATTTTATTTTTAAATTTTGCTTTTAGACAGAGGGAAATAATGTTTCCTTTCTAATGACTCTTAAAAGATCTTTAGTAAGTTTGTGAAATGAATTTAAGTCACAAATTAAATTTAATATTTAATGAAAGTATAATGTAATCTGGCCTTGTTAGTGTTGTTGACTTTTAAAATCAGGTCTATTTAATCTTTGGGTAATGTTTTGATTTCAAGTATATAGTAGCAGATAGGTTTATATAATTAGAATATACCACACACAGTTGAATCTCTCAGTATTTCTGGTAGACAGATTGGTTCCAGGAACACTCTAGATAACAGATTCCTTGTGTAAAATGTTTATTTAACTTTTATTTGTTATTCATTTTATATGTCCTCTGAGTACAATGGTTTAGTATTTGCATATAATCTATGCATATTTTCTTGTGTTCTTAAAATCGTCTGTGGATTGCTTACTAATAGATATTAGAGTTAGAGAATAATAAGAAAAGAATATATAAATTTCAATCCTTGGTTGTTAAATCAACAGATGGAAAGATTATAATAATTTAGTTTTGTGTGTGTGTGTGTG